TATTAGATTAATAGGCTAATCACCCTTAATCTAATAATATTTTTATAATTGTCTATACTCTAAATAATATAAGACTTAATCTTGAAATCTATACTTGATATTAATTATAATATAATAATAGATCCGATAACTAGTAATCCTTACTAATAATATATATAATAATCTTTACATAGTTAATTACCGCTAAGGTTATCTAAAACTATCGAATATTTAATAGCTTATAGTATATATATATAAATATATATTTATATTAAAGTTTAAGATAAAGGATAAAGACCGTCTTATATTTAATAAGTATATATTATACTAAGAAGTATAATTATATTGTAGAACTAAGAATAGAACTATTAAGTATTAAAAAATCTAATAAGTATACTTCTACTATTTTTTAAGAAAGGTAATACCCGGTCTATATATTAGGTCGCTATGATATAATATAATCTTTATGCAACGAAGTTAAAATTTTATTTTTTTCTCGCCCCCCTTCTACTACTTGATAATTATAAAATTAAAACTATAAGTACTAATATAATAGACCTACCTTTAGATTAAATATTATAGGTCTAAAGGGCTCTTTTAGACGGGGAATTAATAATTAAAATAAGAAATTATTAGTATTTACTTTATCGAATATTATTAAGTCATTCCCTTAATTTTTTTTTCTAGCGGGAGTAATGTAATAAAGGGATTCAATAGTATAATCATATATTTTTAAAATCTCAATTGAATAATACGTAAAGTAAGTAATAACGCTCTAAATATTTAGAATCTTACCAAAAAAAATATATTTTACGCTTAATATTTCTACCTTATCAAATGACCTTATTATCATAACTTTTAAAAAAAGCTGTTAAGGGTTTAAAATAACGAAGAATTGAATAGATACAATTGATATATTATATACGGAATAAAGAAGTATCGAATAATAATATTATTAATTATAATCCCAATAAATTCTTATATAATTATAAGCGTTCTTAATACCTTTAAACTCGAGATTACGATCGATACCTTGATAATTCCTCGAAGCTATTAAACTTTAATTTTGTTAGTAATATAGCTATTAGATATTGTAGCGACTATATAGTCTAATAAAATATTAGTTATTTTATATACATATAATAGTCTTTTAGATGATATAATAAGAGATAGACTACTAAGACTACTAAGTACTCTTTCTAACCTTTAACCTTTTTTTTATTAGGGCTCTACTTAGTAATTTGAATAAGACTATATAAGATAAGAATAAGAGTTTTTATTATATAGCTAGAAAGTTCCGTCTACGAAAAAGACTCGGACGTAGTATCACTAACGAAGATAGAATTATAAACAATAACACTAATAAAGATAATATACCCTTAGTAGCTTTATTTAGGGATATAATAGGGCCTAAACCTAGGCCCTATTATAGAAGATAAGAAGTAGTCTCTATAAAAGAATACTATATTGTTAACGCTCCTCTGTCTATTTATTCTATAACTACCATTATATCTTATTAAATTAATAGGCTAATCACCCCTAACCTAGTAAGTAATCTTCTTATATAGCGACTCTAGGGTTAAAGCCGCTCGCTAGTTAACTATAATACAATTTTTTAGTTTAGCTAAGAACGCTCGTTTTTTAGTGTATAGATTTCGTTTATAGCTCAAAAAACCATAAAGTATATTTAGCCTAGTCTTAGATTTAAGGGATTAGATTTCTACGCCCTAAAGTTTTATCGAGATTAGCTTTAATGTTATATTCTTTCAAATAGATCCTTTCACTGAACTTAATCTAAAGAATAGTTGAAATTTAGATCTTAGTATGTATTATAACCTATTTATAAAATTGGCCTTTTTAGACTTATATTAATAATAAAATTATATAATATAATATTTATATCTACTATTATACTTATCGACTATTTAAGCTTTTATTAAAATATGAAAGTCTTTAGGCTTATACAATCTATTAATACTATAATAAGATATTAGCTATTATCTATATAATAACACTCATATCAAATGGAGTAGATAATTATAAATAACTCTTAGTTTAGGGTAGTATTATATAATCTAATTTTGATCCAAAGTATTTCTAAGACTAAATCGCTATAAAATGATATAACCCTCTCATATTAGGCTATAATAAAACTTTGATTATAAGTAACTCTTATTTGATATATCTATTCTAAATCGAACAAACTTTCTAAGGTTAAGATAATTTAGTTGATAATAAAGCCTTTCTTTATTTAATTTTAAACCTCTTATGTTTTTAATTTTTCTTATATAAATACCTATTTAGTCTATAGGCAGCCTTTAATAAAGCGTGAATAGAAGTTATAGAGTCGTAATAATTTCTGTAGATTATAATACATAGTAGATTTTTCTTGATCCTAAATATTATTACTTTACTTATATCTATTCTAGTGCCCTATATTATAATAAACATTACAGCCCTTAGCTTATTGCGATAAAGTTTTACTTAGATAATCTAAATTAAGCTCGGCCTTTTTAAGGTATTTAAATATTAAGTACAATATTTTTATATAAGTATCTTTTTAGTAAGATTTCAAGACTAAATACCATCTAAACATACTACCTAAATAATACAAATCTGATGATAAGTGTCACGAAGAATTCAGTATTAATAATCCGGAACAGATTCTATCGTATTCTACCGCCCTTCATAGGAAAGTAGTTTACATTATTTAATTAGGTACCTTAGGGATCACTACCTTAATTATTTTAACGCGTTATTTCTTTCTTCTTCTTCTTTCTTTCTTTTCTTATATCTAGTATTTAGTTAAATACACTCTTTTTTATTAAGGCTTAGCTCTTAATATAATACTAAATATCACTAAAATACCTTATTGAGTAGTACGATTATATAAATTATTATTATAATTAGGTTTTAGTCCCGCTTACCTTTATTTCTTATTCTTTAGTATTATAAAGCTAAGACCTCCGAACCGAGCCGAAAGATCGATAGAACCGACTAATTAGTAGTAGAAATAACTAATTCGAAGAAGAACATTTCTCGCGTATCTTATAGTAATAAATAAAATATAATAATAGTAATAATAAAAAAGAAATAGATATATGTAGTCTGAATTTACTTAACCTCCCTTCTTTCGATTCATTAATACTAATATAAAGACGAATCCGAAGTATTGGTAATAGTTTAGTTAGTTTATTCGTATCTAAATTTATTAATTATATGTATATCCTTATTTAGTAAGATATATATGTACGCTCTAAAATACTAATTAAAGTATAAAGAGCTCGATACTAAATTTAACAAGTTAGAAGCTAAAAAGAATACTATTAATAAAGAGCTTAAAGAAAGTATTATACTTTAAAAGTAAGCTAATAGAGAGCGTAAAGAAGCGATTTACTTACTTAATAACTATAAAGAATAAAGATAAATGTTAAAATATGACAACATATTAGTTATTATAATTAAGAAATTGTCAATATAGTATACCGATTATAAAGGCTATAATTAAAACTTTTTACATTTAGAAAACGACTAAGATATCTAATCCTCTTGTAATAAGTAATAATTAGGAAATTCGCTTCGAAACTTGATGAATAATAATTTAATAAAAGCTACTTACTAATATAGAATATTATCTTAATCTAGTTTGCTTTTTATTAATGTATATCTCAAGCTATTATAAAGGAAAAATATAACTATATATTATACTATTAATAAATCCTAAATTAGCTACTTATTATACTAATATAAAAGATATTCCTATATACTCAAAAAAAGCGAAAAACAAAACTTCACTAATTTTCTAGCTAGCTTTATATAGCTTATTAAAGAAGTATATATTCTAGTAAAAAACTATAAACAAAATTTTTATTTTATACTTCTATACCGTTATAAATCTAATAATACTCTAAAAGAATTGGAATATAATATCTTTGAATTAATTTATTTAGATCTATATTAGCTTATCTTATAATATTAATATCTAATAAAAATCCTAATCTAATAGCTGAGTTTAAGTCCTTAATTCTCGAAATAACCTTATCTTATTATTAATAAGGTTAATCCTTATAACTCAAATCAAGAAAAAAAAGCCTAAGATTTACTTTATTATCATTTACTAAAAGGTAAATACTAATAAAAGAAAGATATTGTCTTTACTATAAGGAGTAAAGTTATATAGTCTATAGTTATCTTAGAAAGATAGGCCTAATAATTATTATAGTATTTACTTAAGTTTTTACTTATAATCTTACTCTTTATATTATTAAATTCAAAGAGTTTAAACGTTCAGGTCTAAGAAAAGCACTTACTTAAGCGAGGTCTTCCTTATAAGCGCAAAGAAGGTCTTACTTCACATATTAAATTCATAGAAGTTTATATAATAATTTAGTATTTAATATAGAATTAACAGCTAACAAATATTCCTTTTTTTAATTAGTATTATATAATATCAAAATAAATAGTTTAATTTCTATTAATATAACTTTAATAGCTTAATTATATTAATAATAAGCTAGCTTAACTTATTACTTATATAATTGTTCTCTTAATATATATTAAAAGATACATGTATTAATAAGCAGTAGTGTTGATAATAGATCTTAGAGAATATAACTTAAGATTTAAATAAATATAACTAATATAAAAAAATTTTCTACTTAATTATTACTGTGAAGGGCTACAGCTGAATTGATTCAATTAGGCGGTGCCTGCATGCTGTTTATCTAAATCTTAGAGAACCGTAAACAAAGGAGCGGTCAACTGCTGTATAGTGTTCCCTAGGGCGGTCAGGCTACCCGTTCGGCAGTATCGGGTGCGGTGTCTGCACGGGCAAAGCCCGAGCCTCAACGTGGCCCTGGCCCGTTACAATACCCCCTCCTTAGGTTCGGACCTGTAAAGGGTCACGCGGGAGCTCCGGCCGCTGGCAGGGGGTCATCCGTGGCCGAAACGGCCCCGAAACGCTCCTCAAATCTGTCTAGGGCGCTACAGTCATCTATAGATGCTAGTGGTTCCCATATGCATTACGAGTAGCCAGTCCACCGAACTAGCACCTCTCTCCTAGAGCCTCGACCCACTCTCTTAGTACGGGCCGCTAGGATTTCTTCCACATCGTATTCCAGTTCCCCATCGATCTCCAGGGGTGGTGGCTGCGGATCGTCCACGATTTGCGAGGGAAGCGGGTCATCGGCTGCAGGCCGAATTAGGTCGACGTGGAAAACTGGGTGAATTCCGGTCGGAACGCCCAACCGCACTGTATGGGAGGATGGCACTTCTAGCACTGTGTAGCGGGCATGAAGCCAGTCTAGCTTCTTGTACGGCCGTGTCGATCTCACGTTCCGTAGGTTTAACCATACTTTGTCGCCTGTTTTATACACTGGTGTAGCTTGGCGGGTTCTGTTCGCTTGCAGCTGCTGCTGATTTTGTGTAAACGCTATCGACGCTTATGCCCACTCGGTAGCGGATCGGAGTCGATTCGCTAGCGCTTCGCCTGCCTCCCCGGGTCCCGATAATCCCTCTTAGATTTCTTTACTCCCTGTCTGTATCGGATCGATATGGTATCCATATGTAAAGAAGAATAGAGATATTCCAGTTGACGCTGCCTTCCGATTATTGATTGCTACTACTACTACTGGTAGCAGCTTTATCTAATCCTCTTATGTGTAGTAAGTAAATGCTCGTAGGATCTTTTCAACCTCTTAGTTCGCTCTCTTAGTTAAGCTATCTAACTACGGGTGGAAGGCGGTAGATAATCGGCGGCGAATCTGTAGCCTTTCGCACACCCTTTTCTAGAAGTCGCTCACAAATTAGGTTCCCCTATCGCTTATAATAGCAGTTAGTAAACCGTGGTATATATAGATATGCACTAAAAAGGCCTCAGCTAACGCGTCGGCGGTGATTAAGTCTATACCGATAAGTATCACGCTTTTCGTTAGCCTATCGGTAACGACTAGGCAGTTAGTCGCTTTTCTCTCTCCTATAGCTAGGAAGCCGGTAATAAAATCTATTAATATCTCTGCCTAGATGCGCTAGGGAATCGGCAGGGGTTTTAATAGGCCGTGTTTTATCTCCCTCTAGATTATACTTCTTCCGCAAACGCCACAGTTCCGTAGAAATTGTCGTATATCCGCTGCTACTCCGGGCTAGAACCATTGTCGAGACAGTATCGAATAGGTAGCGTCTCGTCCTAGGTGGCCGCTTAAATAAGAATCGTGTACTTGCTAGAGGATTCTTGTTCTTAGAGGCTTAGAGTTAGGAACCTATAAACGACCACGAAACCGTAGTAGTCGACGCTCGTCTAGCTCGTATTCTGCTAGGCTCACTTTCGTGTCTATATTAGCTGGTATTCGGCGATATTCTTTCAATATCGCGTTAGAGAAGGCTCGATAGGTTACGTCAGTCTTTCGGGTAGTTTCCTATAATTATTGTATCTCTAGGTCCTCGAACATTCGTACGGGCGCTTCGAAGTCTATTTCCTCTTTATCTTCTTTAGGCTCTCTCTATAGTCTACTAGTCCGGACCGTAACGTCGGCGAATAGGGCCCGAAACCTATATGAAACGCGCTCGTCGTTAGCGTCCTACGGCATATCTTGTTCTCTTCGCGATAATACGTCTAGTCTCACTGCTTATTTCCCTAGCCGATATTGTAGGTCGAAGTCGAACTCCGCTAGCACATCTGACTATCGTATCTGCCGTTCGGATAGCTGCCTTAACTTATAGAAGTATCGTAGGTTCTTATAGTCCGTTACGATAGCGAATCGTAGAACCATCTTTAGCTCTAGGCGCCATTCCTTTAGGGCTCGTATAATAGCTAGGAGTTCCTTATCGTGGATTTCGTAGTTTACCTCTACCGGGGATAGCTTCTATAAGAGGTATATATAAGGTGCTACGACGCTATTATCCTACACTTAAGATAATACTACGCCTATAGCCTAGCCGGATATATCCGTTTCGACTATTGTTTCTCGTTCCTCTTCGAAATGCACTAGAATCGGTGCCGAAACGAAGAGATTCTTTAGTTCTTTAAAACTCCGTCTATAGTTATCGTCCTATTTAAAAGCTTCGTCTTTCTTGGTTAACCTCGTAAGAGGCGTAGTAAGCTCCGCGAATCGGGGTATAAACGGTCGGTAGAAGTTGGCGAATCCTAGAAAGCTTCGGATATCTTTCATAGTCTTAGGCGCCTTCTATGACTTAATCGCTTCGACCTTCTTAGGGTCGACATATAGACCCTCGCCTACTTTCACAATATAACCTAGGTATTTTATAGCGTGTTATTCGAATTCTGACTTCTTAATGTCGTATTAGAGCCTAGCCTCTTGTAGTTTCGATAAGACTTCGTTCACCTTTCGGCGGTAATCCGTTATCGAACCGTTAGAGTAGATGATAATATCATCTACGTACGCTAAGACAAAGTCGTCTAGGTACTCTCGTAGCACATGATTAATATGTCGTTAAAAGGTGGCTAGGGCGCCTATTAGGCCGAATAGCATAACGTTCCACTCGTATAGGCCGTATCGCGTACGAAACGCGGTCTTATATTCATCGCCTAGCTATACCCGAATCTTATAGAACGTAGCTATCACGTCTAGCTTCGTGAACTACCGTGCCCTCGACATATTCCGTAGCGTCTCACGAATTAGTGGTAATAGGTATCGGTCTTTAACCGTCAGTTCGTTTAGGCCTCGGTAGTCGATATAGAATCGAATGCCGCCTCCTAGCTTTCGTACCAGAAGCACTAGCGAAGCGGCTAGTAATCGGCTTACGCGGATAAAGTTCTTATCTAGCAAGTCAGTAAGCGTTTTACGTAGTACTAGTAGTTCTTCTCGGTTCATTCCGTATAGTGGTCCGTATAAGGGCGGGGCTTTATTTCTATTATCGTCGGTTTTCAGCTAGATCCGGTAGTCGGTTCTAGGGCGATTCGGGGACAGTTCGTCTACTAATCGTTAGCTAAACACGTCTAACCATGGCTAGTAATGTTTAGGCAATTTCGTCTTTAGGTCCACTAGTTCCTTTGGTCGTAGTGCCTTCTTAATATCCGCTATCGAAACTCGGCCGATTCGTAGCCGATGGTCGGTCGATGCGTTTTCGAAAATCCGTCCGCATTCCTATACACTTGCTTTCTGCACTTATAAACGTTTAACCTTCTAGGGACCGATAGATACATCTCTACGGTTCTAACACCGCGTTCTAGCTCCTTCCTTCGAGAATATATCGATATACCCTCTATTCGCTAAGCTCTTCCTTTTTACATCCGTTTCCTAGGGTTTCCCTAGAATAAGATCGTCGACTTATCCCGGGATCACGTACGCAAATACGCCTTCCTACTTATGGCTATATATATCGAGGTCGAAGTAGGTAACGTATGTGATTCGACCCTGTTTCGCTAGCACGCCGTCTAATCTTAGGGGCTTAGGAAGTTTAATACGCGGGAGTTCAAGAGAGAGAGAGAGTTTTTCATTAATTATAACGTAGCTATCGCACCCGCTATCGACGAGACCCTTAACGAATCGTTCGCCATTCAGGCACGTATCGACATAGAACAGTGGTTCGATGCTCTTCTCTAACTTCTTGACTCCTTCGAGCTCTTATTCGCGACTAAGAACAAGAGCTACTCTTTTTCCGATCTAGATGATTCGACAACCGTAGTGGATTCGGTCTCGCTAGATGACTCTATGATAGCGGCAACTTCCTCGCGCTTCTTACTCGAAACGGTCTCGTTTCGGGGCTTTCTCTCAAGTTTGTTAGTGTGCCTCCGGTCCTCGGGACGTCTTACAGGTTTTAGGGGGCATAATGCGATACGGTATTTCGGTCGCCTATAACGTATACAAAGTCCTTCTTCACGACGTCTGTCTCTCTCCTCTTCGCTTACCCATTTCGCGCGTTTACCGATAAGGTCTCGATCCCGATTCGGGTCTGAATCGGTGGCGAATCGGTTCACTTTCACTAAGGTAGGTTGCCAGTCTATTAGATCGTAAGTTTCTTCGATCTAGGCAGTAGCTGCTATCGCACGTTTTAGTCGGTTCTATATCGCCTAGAACCCTGACAAGTCGGCGCTAATTCGGTGTAGAAGATACACCATTTCGTTAAAGGTGCTCGGCACACCTCGGTTCACTAGGGCTGAATACGTCTCTTTATTCAGTGCCATAACTAGCGTATGCTTTTTGGAATCATCGGGCCATTAGAGGGCACCCGTATCGGCTAGTTCTCTCTCAAAACTCGGTAAGAATCTTTCAAATGATTAGTTCGGTTTCTGCTTTAGCGCATACAAACGCTATACGGCTCTCGCTTTAACGTTCGGATCGCCATAGATTCGCTCTAGATACGATAGCAAATCTTCGGGGGTTCCGTTCTCACGTCTCTCTCTCATAAAGGTGGTGGTGTTCTTCAACGCCATCTTTTCCAGGCGAGAGTAGATATATGCGCATTAGTCCACGGGGGAACCGAGGCACATTCCATCTACTCTCAATTTATTCTCGATTGTCACGAAGAATTCAGGATCAATGATCCTGAACCGATTCTGCCGTGTTCCACCGCCTTTCGTAGTTCGTGTTTTACATTGTTTGATTGGAGGCCTCAGGCATCACTACCTTAATTGTTTCAGCGTGTTGTTCTTTCTTTCTTCTTCTTTCTTTCTTTCCCCATGTTTAGTATTCTAGTTGAATGCACTCTTTTTCATCAAGACTTGGCTCGTAACATAATACTAAACATCACCAAAACACTTTACTGAGCAGCACGACTGTACAAACCATCATTGTGATTGGTTTCAGCCCTGCTCAGCCCCACTTCGCGTTCCTTGGCATCGTAGAGCCAAGACCTCCGAACCGAACCGAAAGATCGACAGAACCGACCAATCAGCAGCAAGAATGGCTGATTCGAAGAAGAAGACTCCCCGCATGACTCGGAGCCAGCAAACGAGACTCGCTGACAGCGATGATCAAGAAGAAACGACCACACATGATCCGACTTCGATTGAACTCCCTCCCTCCGACCCTTCGTCACCAATACGAGGACGAAGCCAAAGCACCGGTGCTAGTCTAGTTCATTCGCATCTAAACTCACCAGCGGTACGCGACACTCTCGCTCGGCAGGATGCACGACAGCGCTTCGAAACAATGGTCAAGAAGTACAAAGAGCTTGAAGTCAAATTCAACGAGCTAGAAATCAGGAAGAATGCTATTAGCAAAGAACTTGAAGAAAGCGTCATGCTCCGAGAGCGAGCTGATGAAGAACGTGAGGAAGCGATTGCTCACCTGATGATCGCAAAGGAGAAAGAAAAGACGGCAGTGGATGCTAGAAATGAGATGGCATACCAGCTGCTACAATCAGGAAACCACCAGCGCAGCGCATCGATTGTG